GTTCTGAACTATTCCAACACTTTCAGGACCTTCGACAGTTCCTTTGGTCCTTCACACTGTCTAAAGCCCTGAAACATCCCAGCACTTTCAGGAACTTGGACAGTTCATTTACCCCTTCACTTTGACTAATGCAGTGATTCCCAACCAGGGGTACGCAAGCATATCACAGGGGGTCCATGGAAATATTTCCCAGGCGTGTAAAAAATATAAATAAAAATAGGACTAAGATATGTAGGGCCATCATTTCTKCAATGCGGAAACTGCATTCGGAATCACTGAATTAACACAAAATGGAATCCAGTATAAAAGGTGAAATCTCATGGAATTTGCTCATTTGGGTAAGTTTCTGACATAATTTGGACAGTACAATGTATTTTGGATGCTGTTGGTTTTTTGCACCTGCCATTACCTGGTTTATTTATTTGAATACTTATTTCAAGGCAACATTTTTATCTTTATGTTTAATTTTAATTAAAAAATTAAATGCCTGAGAATTAAATGTTCTAGGAGGTTAAATAAATCATTTTCATTTAACAATCATCTGTAGTACATTATAGTTTTGGAGAATCATCATTACGTTCGACTGAATATGTATTAGTGGTATGACAAAATGGCTCAGGGGTTACACAAGTCTAAAAAGGTTGGAAACCACTGTTGTAAACCACTACACAGATTTTATGATTTTCAGGGAGTAATAAATACAATGWACCTCTACAACAAAGTTTCCTTTGAACATAATCCAACTGAAAATGGCCACCACAGCTAAGTGACCTTAAAAACACCAAAATGACTATAATTCTTTCAATTTCATAAATGTGTTCAAATGTTGGTTTTGCTGGGAGTTATTGAAAACACATATTTGTAGCTGTCAAATCTAAAAGAAGCAAAACAAAAAAGGGAGAAAAGCTAAAATAATTTAAAAACATTTAAAAATGGTTAAAATCTAGAAGTAACATAATATTTAAATGTAGAAAAGGCTAAAAATTAAAAGTAGCAAACAGCAAAGCAAAAGCTAAAGGTTGAAAAACATACCTAAATGTAGCAGAATGGTAGCTAAAAGCTAACAGAATCAAAAGGCTAAAAGTAAAATTAACAGTATTGTTTTATTATTCTACATAATTGTAAATCATGTTAAATATTTTGAAACGTTATAAAAGTCATAAAAATCTAATGTCACAGCACTCATCCTCTGAATAAGCTGAATGTTTTGATTATATAATATATGAATGGCTGAAATAGCAAAAATAAGCAAATTGCAAGAAAACCTATTAAAACCAGGAAAAGTGTAAATGCTGAAAAAGCATTTGTTCTACTATTCAAGAAAATAACTCACAGATCAAATGATTATTATTAATAATTACTAATAACCTACTTTCTTTCTAAGAATTGTTCAAATAAATCAGTAAAGTTATATCTAATCTAATCTAATCTAATCTAATAATGAAAGTCCTCATGACTGGTATAATGAGAATCTTTCTTTCTTTTGACCAAAATTTGTGAAGTTCATGAACATCCCAAGGTCTAAATAAATAAATAAATAAATAAATAAATAAATCCAGGGTTGAACTCCAGTCGATTAGAGCCGACAACAGAGAACCGAGCTGGTCCTAACCTGTGAGAGAAGTTTTTCTTCCTGTCACTCTTCCTGTGTAGATGAGCTCGAAATAGGGCCACATAATTACCAGTGGCTCCCTCAGAGCTCTCTCAGATGTGCAGAGCTCTCATTACCCACAATGCAGCCTGGGCTCTTAAATATCAAACACCTCTTTGTGCCGGAGGCCTGACCGTCCCTTTAGCCTGCAGCATCCCCTCCGTCTTTAGCCTGTGCACGCATGTGTGAGATTGTCAGCACAAGTGTGGAATTAGTGCCTAAACTCTGCTTTTTATCACAAAAGAAAAAAACCCACCTACAACTACATTCATTTTTTATGTATAATGTTTACTTCCTCTGATAGCTGTAGTGATGTGTGCCACTGCAACTCACAAGTTGTAAAACTGAATGTTAACGATACATTTTTTTACATTTCCTTCGAGTTTTTTTCCTTCACGTTTTGCATCCAGATTCAATTTCTTTTCACTTCAGTGCTTGTGGAAATTAAAAGAAGCCAATGAGAGAGAAAAAATAAATAAAATAAAAACTCATGTACTTCAAGCAGTTTCTCTTAAAAGCCCCAAGCCTTTTAAGTTGAACTAAAATGTTGCCACAAGCAGAGAAAGGAGGAAAAAAACATCCAAGCATATRACAAGAACATGGACAATCAATTAGTCAATCAATTAAGAATAAAAATATGGCCTAGCACTTTCTTTTAAGTGAACTTCTGCAAAGTGTCTCTGTAGTGGGAATAATTTACATAAAGAAAAGATTAATTTTAGACAAAAAATGTGCAGAATACAGTTCCTCATTTCAGATAGGATCACAGATCTAAATTTTGAATGTTAGTAAAAATTTCAGCTGAGCAGGACTTCGACATCCCAATTTTACTCAAGAATAATGTTAAACCATAAAACTTGACTTAATTTAAAAATCTAAACTGCTCTCTCATCCTGTGATTCACTAAGATGGTCTTTTGACTATAAATTTAAAGGGATAACTGCATAGAAACAGATGGTCTGCATGACTCCATTTTCTCCAGAATTTAGTCATTTTAAGTAGGAACTAAGAAATTTTGTTCAACCTGTATTTTTCTGTCTAAGTAAGAAGCATGTGGAGTGTGACTGAATTATTTAAGAGAAGACAAAAGAATAGAAGATTTTGCATTTCAAAACCATAAAGTTTTCTAAAACGTAAAAATGCGGCTGCAGCTTTGAGTTATTACTTGTTTCAGTGAACCACAGAGTGAAAATTATATGGAAGCATTTGTTGTAGGAATTTGCAATAAATTGATTAAGCACTCTTATTCGCTCATTAACTTTTATTGCCTTGCTTCCTACATAAGTAATCATAATTTTTCTTTGTTGCGAAGGCCTCCACGGACAAAACGCGAAAAAAAAATCTTTTGAGAACAATAAAGATATCGCATATTTTGGTATTTAGATGATCAAATCAAAAGAGAATTTGAATTTATATAATCTACTGTACTTAAGATCTATTTGCCTTTATGTTTTAAATGTTTTTTTTGTCAAGCTTATATGATTTGCAGTAATTTTGTACTGAAACACGTTTGTTAATTTATTGTCCAACAACATAATTTAAACATTATTTTACTTCTTACTCACTAACTTCTGAATCACAAATGCTCTGTAAAAAACAAATTTGTCAGGAAATAAATGCCTCAGATAAAAAAACAAGCCTGCATGAACACACATGAATTTAAAAGCCTATCATTTCTTAAATAAATGCATTTCACCTACTGCTGTTCATGGCAGAGATTTAGATTAAAGTTGTAGGCACTTTGATTGAACCTTGAAAATACTATTATTTTATTTCAGTTGTAGTGTTTTAATTAAAATCCATCCATTGGTTCATGCAATGCACAGTAGTACACAAGAAACAGTCTGACAAACAAACACACTCACACATGCTTTTCATGACTTGTGGGCAATAGAAAATTAACTTATATCTTTTTAAGTCAAAGCATTTTTGTGGCCGTGTATGGGGCGCAAATAAAATGTTAAAAATATTACTAACACAATTTCATTATTTAGCTCACTTTCAGTGTACAATCCTAATTTAATTAAACACCACTAACATTTTATTGTTAATCAGCTCACTTTTCTTCCAATTTGCTCTTTTTTACTAAATGTCACAAGTTGTGGCTAAATGTAAACATTTGCATTTAAGTATTTCAGAATGGAATGCAGCCTTTGCTTTTTTGTGATGTCATCATCCTGGGACAATAGATGACACTAATGCTGCTAACACAGCTAATGCTGCTAAGACTGCTAACGCTTCCCTATGAGAAAACAAACAGGCAGTTGCTGCACATGTCGAAGCTGAACTTCAAACTACTGGACCACAGGTACTATACATGTTGTTTTCAATTAAAACATTTTAAATATAAAATTTAAATATCATCTAAAGCAGCGCTAGCATTTGCTTTTGTCACAGTACTATGATGACATCACGACAAAAGCCGCGCACCAACGGCCAAGGCTGCCAGCCATTTTGAAATTCTTAACTGTAAGCTTTATCATTTAGCTGCAATACTTAAGATTTAATGTTTACATTTAAATTCAGGACTTAATATTTAGACACAACATTTAACATTTAGTAAAAAAAAATGATCAAAATATAAGTGAGCTACAATAGAGTGTTAGTGGACATATTTTACCTAGGATTTTACTTGTTAAGTGAGCTAAATAATGAAAACACATGACATATTTTAACTTTAAATTTTACACTTGGCACCCAATAACCTTGCAGAGTTCTGTTATACTGACTATGGATCAGTTTGTGCTGGCCTTCATGTTATAATCTGCACAAGCAAGCCCTCAAAAATCCTCCTCTCATCAGCACAGAGTTTACTGCAACAGTACTTGACATGTCCTGCAGCCAAATCCACAAATTTTAAGAGGTGTCTCATTAGCTCACTGAGCTGTGGAAATGATGGGTGTTAATATAAACATCACAAAAACAAGGTTGTATTCTTTTGTTCTATGTGTCTGAGATTTTTTTTTTTAAATCAGCTCACTGTTAACATTATGGGCAACATTTTCAGCACAAAAATACAGACCTCTAGATGTCAGAGCTGATATTCTGCATCAGTGCTTTGAGTGGCATATTATTTTATAACCAAATCAAGAATAAAATTAAATCGGACTGTGGAAAAAAAAAAGCCAATTTACAATTTTTCTGATCTGTTCATAAAACCTGCTGGGAACACATTTACAAAATGATTCTGTCTTTYGAGCGGGGACAAAATGCTTGACAGCAAGTCCATTTTAATCGCAAGTTTGGGAATGAAGACTTCTCTGAGCCCGAAGAACAAATGTAGAAACTAAGACAAAAAGAAAATCATCAATAGACCCAGCGAAGCGGGAAGGAATTCTGTGGATCTTACCGTTGTCCTCAACAGAGAAATGAAATACATCAGATGTGGTGTTTTCTTCGTGCCGCAACACATAGCAGATGTTCAGGTCATCAATATCAGCTGCAAAGAAAAAAAAAGTGTGCCTTATTCAATCTGTTCGTGCTTGGAGAATGTGATGGACATAACTCTCAGCTACTATCACATTAGGTTTTCGCTCAATATCTGCAGAACTGACTGAGTTAGAATTATTTTTCTGTTTGTAATGCCTGATTCAAACAGCAAGATAATTATGCAGATTTYTGACCTAAWTTTTTTCGTTCCGATACTCTCTGATTACTGTGATGGCTCAAAAGATAATGTTAGGAGGTACACCTGCCATGTGTGGTGTAAGAGTGATCTAGTTGGCTCAGAAAGACGCCAGGACAGCTCAAATCTCACATCAGGGATATTCAACATGTTCAATTGTCTTGATCTGATGCCTCAGCATGAGTGATGTTCCCCTGAGGATAAACAAGTTCATAGCCTGTTGAATGTGACGTGTAGCCAATCAGAAAGCGAGGTGAGAAATACAGAAGACAAAACTGACCAGAGAGTCCGGTGAACATCTGAGACATCTTTTCTGTTTTATTTTTCCGTTAAAATTAGTCCACAAACTGTCACCATTGCTTCTTCTTTGTCAGCGATGTTTATTTACCCTGAACTCATGGCAGCTGAATGTTCGTGAGGGAAATCTCTTCAAGTTTGGTTGTCTTTGTCACGGTTTGGTCCACACTGTTGGACCAAATATCTACCATATTTTATCATCTTGTGTGGAGTCTCTCAGGTTTTGAAAATCAACAGGAAGTTATAAAATCTTGCCGTGTGAACCAGGCATTAGGATCAATAAGCTGTGGCAGCCATGTTGAATCAGGTTGACTCCAAAAATTAACCAGTTGTAGATWAAAATGATTACTTTCCGAGAGTTTCATTCAAATTCACAAAGTTGTTGAGGAACTGTTTTGCGTATGCTACAGACATACATGGTCAAAAACACCCTTGTCTTTAATAGAAGGTAATAATGGATGTGAGGTGATGCCTTAAAAAACTGAAACAAACTGATTCCAAAAATATAAATAGAATGTGGATCAGTTATGTCCTTGTCAACATTTAAAGTCATATTTAGACAAAAATTTGCATTTTGAGATTAAATTAAAAAAAAACTTTTGTGTCTTGTTTTTCATGTCATGTTTCATGCTGACTACAGAAATAGCCTCAAACACACTTTGAAGTTGTATTGCAGCTTTACGGCTTGTTCAAACACTCCCTCCGTCAAATAAGTGTTCAAAGAGGCAAGCTGTCCCACTCTGCAAACGTAGGGCTGCAGCAACAGCAGGTCTCTCGTATCACACTGATTCAATTACTTATCAGTACGCAGCGTGAACAATTTCCTACCAGAGGAATCATTCTGAAAGTCATGCATCCGTTAATCCAGGACGATAAGGTGGCGAACTGAAAATCCAACAGAGCTCAAGCTAAACCAATAGAAAAAAAAAACGTTTTAAACCAGAACCTGACGATTGCCTGAGTCAACACCCCTAAAGAAGAAGAAGAAAAAAAAAACAGGTGAGGCTGGACTTTTTAATGACAGACGAGGTAGGAATGTTAACAACAGGATTCCAGTGGCTTCACATCTGTTTCCTCCAACTTTTGCTGAATTACAGGGCTTTGCTTGTACTTTTCTATTTCATTTCCCACAAAAACATCTATTACAGTGCAAAAAAAATCATCAACACTGTGAAAGAGCTTGGCCCCTGCAAACCATCTCTTTCAATAATAGATGTCAGAGGAAGGGGGTTCATTAAAGTGTAAACCTCTGATTTCTGACTAGGAAGCACGCCTCCTCCTGCAGGTGACTGCTGCTTTTCCACTGATTAAAAAAATCTAAATGTGTGTCCTGTAAAAAGATTATTCTGGTTTTCTGCATTCAGGTTAGCATTCTGCAGAGCTGCAGGAAGAGCAACCTCCCCATGACACAGACTTGAACCCGAGGACCTTTCAAGCACAAAGTTAACACTGGGAACATGGGGGGTGGGGGGCACACTGCTCATTCAATATTTAAAGAGAACGCCTCCTGGGAGGTGCCCTGGAAATGGGACGAGTAAATAAAGAGCAAGGGATTGTCTCTTTCACCTCACTGACTCTTCTGACGAGTCGGCTCGCTCTCCTAACTCGAATCTCTCATGATTCCCACCCCCACCGCACTCTTTGTTTCCTCCCGTGCCACCTGCATCACCTCAACCCGTTTCCCAACCCACCTCCTTTTTTGCGCTCTCTTCCTCCTCATCTTCCCTTTGCTCCTTTCTTTCTTTCTGCACTCTTGTCTCATCTGTGCCTTTTTTTTCTTTTAGAAAGCCTGCGGCTACACAGTGTTTGTCAGAAATGTCTCAAGAGCTCTTTCCAACTCTGTGTTCTCCACACATGTCTGTGTTTACACCAGGAAGCAGGTGAATTTTTCTCACTTTCTTGCTTAATTGGCCCAGCATGATGATTACATTCTTTAAGCCCCAATCAGCAACATTGTTGTCTCCATTCTCTTTGCCATATCAGCAAACATTCATGCACTCAGGGAAAAATAAATGTTTCAAAAGTGTTTAAATTTATAGAAAAAGTGACGTCACTTGCTCTGGCGGTGAATAGTGATTTAATTGCTGAGAGCCACCGACGTTCAAGGCACACACAACTTCAATTAACGGCTTCAAACTGACCTGACCTGGTGAGGCTATCAGAATTCACTGCAACTCAAATACCATCCTGTCACTTTGAGATCTTCACTGACCTTTTCGCACAATCCTCTGCTTCTGCCCCGCTTCATTTAACAGACCTCCAAAGAGAACCTCAGATGTGAACATTGCCCCAGAGATGCAGCAATATTCAATTATTCATCTTGAAAGTCTCCAAAACATCAGTCTCTATCTTTGGTCTGCTAATTATGATTTGATGAACAAGACATTTCTAAATTAGGCTCGCAAAAAAAAAAAAAAACCTATTGAAATTCCCAAGTCAGAGCTTGTCACACGTACGAATAATTATAACTCCATAAATTAAAATAGTTGAGAAGCACGGGTGTGAAAATTAATTAAATCTAACTGATTAAGGTGAAATTTGAGCTTTTGACTTTGTGCATCTCTTGTTTTAAATGGCACACCGTGCGATTCGATTTGTACTGTATTTATTTATTTCACTAACAAACACATTAGAATTAAAACCTTCCATTACCCAAAGAGTCAGATTAACAATGCTTTTTTTAAACTGTTAGGAGGCATTTTGAGGCAGTAGACACAGTTATAATTTTGTTTTAAAAATTGTAGTATTAAAAAAGCAAGATTATATAAATAATATAGAGTGGAACAGAGATTGAGGCAATTCTCTTAAGCAGATTTAATTTAATCAGCACCAGTTATTCATGAAAGCATATGCAGTGTGGATTTAAGCAAAAACCTCTAAACTGTTTTCATCAATTTCCATCTGAATATTTTACCCTTTCCCACCAATCTTGTTTATGTTGTTTAAAAGTTATTTTTTCAGCTGTTGTCACTGAGTGATGTCTGTTATGAAAAGCAACTAATTAAAATACTGATAAATATTGTGTTAAGCACTTACCTTGACTAAATGTATTGATGGAGTTGTTCCCGTGTCCAAGATTAATGATGTAGCCATGTTTGGGTGGTGTGCTGATGTGGAACACCACAGAAGCTGGTTTGCTGTCCCTGTCCTCCACCTTCAGCACCTTAGGACTAATAGGAAAGCCCAGGAGGCCTGTGGGCAAAATCTTCAAAGTGGGCGCTCCTTTGTTTATTACAATCTGGGGGATGCCATTATCAATTGCTGCTATAGTGATCTTCATGGTCTGAGGGCGGCTCGTCTCAAACACAGTGTCTGGGAAAACATAGAAGTCAGTGTGTGTGCCGTCAGTAACAGTAAAGGAGAAAGAGTCCTCTGAGGATTCGGTCCCATCGTGTTTGTAGCTGATGAGATTTTCGTCAAGGTCTTGCTTCGTGAAGCTGGTGACAGGCGCCGACCGGTTGTACAACAGTTTGCCGTGAACGGGCAGTTGGGTGACTGTGAATTTGATCAGCCTTTCATCCGTGTCCTGGTCCTCGGCGGTGAGCTCAAATGGTGTGATCAGCTTCAGCTGGCCTTCTGTGACAACCAGGCCATTTACTGTCACAACGGGTTTCTTGTTATCAACATCCACTATAGAGATTCGAAATGTTCTGAAAACTGGGTTGTAACCGTCAGTGACTTCGAACTCGAAACTGTCCATTTTTATTTCATCATCTGATGTGTGGATGTAGAAAATCTTACTGCCAGCCAATTGAAGTTGAGTAAAAGATACAATGGGCATCCCGGGAGTATCTGTGCACTCCAAATGGCCTCTTATAGGGATCTGTGTGACAGTAAAGACCAAGTTTTCATCAGGGCTGTTAAGATCAGAAGTACTGAGTAGATCTGTGGTTAATGTCACTCTCCCACCTTCTCTCAGAGACACACCTTTACTAACAACATTTGGAAAGACCATGTCAATGCCACCTATTGTGATGTAGAAGTAGCGATCAATGAGTGGGTTAATTCCATCAGTGACATCAAATTTTACTAAGTCGCGGATGCCCTCCTGTCCATTGTGTGTGTACAATATCAGTCCTGCATCGAGTTCAGCTTGTGTGAAGTTCATGCCCAGCGTGATGTTCTCCAGATACCCCGATGGTGTTTTTCTCTGCAAGACACCCTGACCAGGTTCAAACCTGATAATATATGTTAGCATAATATCCACTGAATCCAAATCTGTTGCTTTAAGCACTTTGTTGTTAATCTCTTTGGACTCTCCAATTTCCACTTCCAGGCCATCGTTGATAGCCATTCTAGGGGTTTCATCATCAACAGCAATGATCATAATCACAGCTTTTTTCTGGACAATGTACTTTCCATCCGTCAGAGTGATATCAAAGCTGTCCTCTGTCGTCTCTGAGTCATCGTGTTCATAAATAATACTTGAAGCCTCTCTAATCTGTTCCAAAGTGAAATTTGTCACCAACACAGAGCCCGTGGATAGCTGATTTAAAATGGCACCGTGTTTGGGAGGTTTGGAAACTGTAAACACGAGCTCCTCGGGTGGAACGTCGGCATCTGCTCCATTCAGAATCAGCGTGTCGATGACAATGTTCATTCCCTCCATCACAACAATTTCCCTCAAGTAAATCTCAGGCTTTTCATCATTTTTTGGAATGATAATGATCGGGAAGAAATAGTTCTCTGAGAAATTGATACCGTCAGAGCACCTAAAAGTGAAGCTATCCTCCACTGGTTCTACCCCCTTGTGAATGCTTTGCACATAGTAGATATTTCCTTCCCTTATGTCTCTGAGGGTAAAAGCACTTATAGCTGTTCCTGACCTTGACTTTTCTGAGCCTGGGGCGGGGGATATATTTTCCACATAGCCTGCAGTGGGCTGGACAATGATGGTGCAAAGGATATCATCCGTTGGAGTGTCATTATCATCAGCGTTCAAGTGCTGAGGGCCAATGGCATATTTCTCTCCTTCAGTGACACTGAACTGAATTCCAACTCCAACCTCAGGGGCCTGATTGTCAACAGGAAGAATAGTGATTCGAACATGAACCCCTTTGACCTTATTGCCACCTACTGTCCAATCATCAGACATGTCTGTAAGCGTTAGATTAAATCCATCCTGCTGGGAGGTCAAACCTATTTCACCACCAGTGTGTGCATAAACAACTACTCCATTAATTATGTCAGCTTGTGTAAACCCGGTTGCAGGCACTCCTTTCACCAAAATTTCCCCCCAAACTGGAGGATCTTCTAAAATAAAAGTCAGCTGGAGGTCATCTGTGTCATCATCATGACCTTGAATCACGTTAGTTGTTATTTCCGTGGCTCCGTTTTCCAATACGTTCATATGGGACCCAATTGTTCCAGCAGGTAGTCTGATCCTTGGTGTTTCATCATCGACAGGTTTTACATTAACTTTGACCGTCACAGTCACAATATGAAAACCATCACTGACATCCAGCTGAAATTCATCACTCACAGTCTCATCTCCACCATGAATATATGATATCTTCCCCTCTGAAATGTCCTCAAGTTTAAAGAGACCGTTTTTGTCCAGGTCAGTGAAAGTCACCTGAATCTGACCATGTTTAGGAGGCCGACTCAGAGCAAAGGTTATTTTCTCGCTCTCTGTGTCAAGGTCTGTCGCATCGAGCTCGGCGATGGTGATGATGTGCATGCCACGTTCAAACACAGCAAAGCCCAGGTTTGTAATCTGGGGAGGTTTGTTGTTGACTGGTTGCAGGTAGATTGTGAATGCCCCCTCTGCACTGTTTCCAGCTGTGTCTTCAACTGTGTAGCAGAACTGCACAACGTGAGCTGTGATTCCCAGCTCAACATCAGGAGGTGCATAGGAGATCTTATGATGGTTGATTTGAGCTTGTGTGAACTCAGAAACGTCAGTATCAGGACGATCTGTCAGAACCAAAGAACCAAACACGACTGGGTTATTTTCATCTATATCCTTTGGGACCTGGGTAACTGTATATTTAAGGTCACGATCCTCAGAATCCAAATCTGTGTAGCGCAAAACTTCTTTGCTGAAGTGAGTGAGTTTGTACTCCTTGACAATCATCTGCAGAGTTGTTCCTGGGAAAAGTTCAGGGGGCACATCATCGATAGGTAAAACACGAATTACAAAAGCACTATCCCCAGACAAATTAGGTGGGTCATTGTCATCCTGTACTCTGAATATAAACTGATCTGTGATTGTGTCTGTGTTATGTGGGCCTGTGTGCTTGTAAAACAACTTCCCATCTGTGATATCTTTCTGATGCCACTCTGTCACCTCTTTCTCATACATTTCATCCTTAGCATTAAACTTCCAAGAGGAGGGGTCTTCTGGGGCATCTGACTGCCGCAGAAGCACTGTGCCAATTGTGGAAAAAGGGGGAACCATTGTAAATTTAATAGTTGAGTCTTCAGAGTCAATGTCAGCAGCGCTGAGCATGAGAGGAGATAAGGGCATCATTTGATTTTTGAACAGGACCAAACCAGTGTTGGCATTGATAATCGGTGGTTCATCATCAGTGGGAACAATTGTGATGGGAAAGAGGAATTCTACCTCATTCGTCCCGTCTGTCATCTTGAAAATAATGTTGTCACTGTATGTGTCACTCCCGTCGTGTTGGTAGACCACCATCCCTGCGGTAAGGTCAGCAGGTGTGAAGAATTTCCTCGGAGATCCCAGCACCATGAGCTGCCCGTGCCGCAGCCCTTCCACCACCGTAACCGTGACGGCATCCAGGCTATCCTCATCGCTGATTTCTAAGTTATGGGAGCTGATGAGAGGACGTGACTGGCCCTCATACAGCAGCTGGCCAGTGTTACGCGTGACCACCGGGGCCAGGGTGTTCATGGGCTTCACGACAATCATGAAAGCAAACGGATCCGAAACGGCCTCCTCCGTGTCTATCACCTCAAACTCAAGCTGAAAAATCCTCTCGGTATCTGAGTCCATAGAAGGTGGCACATAGGCTATTTTCAAATCCCACAAGTCTCTCTGGTAGAAGGATGTGATTGGGAGGTTTCTGTCATCTGTACTGACAATGTACCCCTCCTCATAAGATAAGGGGGTGCTGATATTGAAAATGAGCTCATCTGGGTCTGACTCTGCGTCCTCAGCGGCGAGCATCTCAGGCGTCAGGGCGGTCATGACAAACTGGCTCACCTCCATCATCATCATGGACACAAAGCTGGGTTTGGGGGGAGTGTTCTCCTCTCCATCTCTGATGCGAACCATGAGATGAAAATACTCCTGCTTCACCAGGTTGTCTTCCTTATCGTGCATTTCTACAACCATGGGAACATAGTCTCTGTTCTGAGATTTGCCATTAAATGTGTGCTCGTAGCGGATATCAGTTTGTAAAAAATCATCACAGTTCATCATTGTGGAAAGTTCGCCTCCGTTAATGAGTTTTCCATATTTGGGCAGTGCACTGCTGCCGCTGCACAAGGCTGTCACCTCACATTTGTAAAACTCTTTATCATAAGTAAACTCTAGAATCTTCTTATCAATGGGATTACTAATCCCTTTGAGATTATAAACAGTGAGAGGCATGTTTTTGGTGAGTAGCTCCAGCTGTGTAAAAACCACTTCCACCTCCATCATAAAGGGGATGATTACAGTTTCTGTTTGAGCATCATACCTGAGCTGCAGCCTCACTCTGTCTTTAGCCGGGCTCCTCGAGCCGTAGTGGGAATAAATCACATCACTGGGGCCAAAATCACAGGGAAACTTTTTGGGGGAGAGATGTCCCAGTCTCTGCGAGAGCGGATCATTATCCAGGACGGTGACGCTGCACTGGTCTCCCGGCTGAGTCTGTATCACCAGATCGTTGATGGGGTCGATGAAAACCGACCTCCCAAAAGGCACGCGGATTCCGTTGTTGGCCACCAAGATTGCGTCCTCCGAGAGCTCTGATCTGAGTGCGTAAAATAGTCCGGAGCTGTCGGGCTGCGCGAAAACAACAATACCTGTTACAGAAAGGCAGAAGAAGGAAACAAGTCCGCGGAGCAACATCTTCGCATCCAAAACACTGACTGCTGCTGGGCTGTTGCTGTTTTCCAGTATAAAATAATACAACAAATGCAAAAGAAAAAAAAAAAGATTTAAAAAAAAGTAATCAAAAAACGCGCGTCAGGAGGATCTCTGCACCTCTGCGACTCCCGCGCGTCTTTCCATCCTGAGCGTCGACATGCTGAGGGAGAGAGGCGCGCAGGAGTTTTAACTTCAGACTCCTGAGAGGCACCGAGTGAGGAGCTGCCGCCCATCTCTGCGCATATTGGATGGATTTGAGGGCTTGTTAGTTCAGCAAAGTGGCCAATGGGCAGCGCAGCTGACAGTCACAGAAGGGGGGGGGGGGCACTGTAAAATGTAATTCTTTTTTGCTTTTCTCAAATTGCAAACATTCTTCTTGTATTGATGACAAACGAAACTATAAAGCACTGATGTTATGAGCTGAACTCAAGTGATCCCATCTTTTATTTAAATCTAAGTTGTGCAGCTGAATGAAATAAAATTAACCATGCAGTTCAAATCTAGTCTTAAAAAAAGTACAAGAACACGATCTGTAAATGTTCCGTTGTTGTACTTGATCACTTGTAACAAAACTACACAGAAAGTTCTGAATATAAAGATCTCTCAGTAATTTAAACACCGTTAGATCAGCATCCACCATTGGATTATTTCTTAAAATTCTTGATGTATTACATCTTTTATCTTATAAATTTATTTGAATTTTTGGGTCCAGTCTGTCCATGTACACACTGCTGCATGTCATCTCTCTAATACTGATGATGTAAAAGCTGAGCTTTGGGCTTTCTTCCTTAATTAAAGAGACACTGTCATTAGTCAGGCCGGGTTCTGGCTTATTAAACCTCCAAAAAGCTCCTCCTCGTTTACTCAGCTGTATTTTCACACTCCCTACAGAAAGCTGCTATGTGGCGACTCGATTATTTATTGCCTATTCATGTTTGCATCCATCCATTTATTCATTTTGAGGAATTCAACACAGCCTTTAAATAATGTTGGCCTTCCCTTAAGGAAGAGTAAAAACATTAGTATTACCCACTAAGCAAAGGGGAAACAACCCTGTTCCTGTTGTTTGTTCTGACACACACAAAAAATGATAAATTTCAAATTACTGCCTTAAGCAAGTGTGTGGTCAAGTGCAAAACACATTCAACTCTCACAGACCAAGAGGTGCAGAAAATTGAGTAAAGAGAAAAATCTGTCTTGCAAGTATTTTCTGGTCAAGGTGGAAAAACCACAAAGTAAGATGGAATATAGCCGTTTAAACAATTATTCTGTGCAAATTTTTATAACTAATGTGAAATGAAGATTTGTAATGGCTTTGACATGGCTGCCATTGGCACATTTTTATTCAAACATGAACTGTATGAAATTCTGGATCAGCCCTTCTGAGTACAGGCACCATAAATGCTATGAATAAATAAAATAGTCATTCATTCTGATGGGGCCATTATCAAGCGACTGGCTGTAAACCAGTTGAAGGATTTTTCAATCGCTATAAAACTGATAACAAGTTTCCATCATGAATATTTAACAAGTTCCTCACTTCTAATTTCAACGGCCTTGACTCTTTTAAATCCCGAGACTTAACCCTGAGCGACTGTGTGACTTTTGATTCTTCACTGATTCCTTTTAGAACGGCAGGTGATTAAAGGGTTTCCAGAGTCTTGTTATTTCCAAGTGCAAAGGCAAAGCCTGATTTTGCAGCTGTCGTTCACTTTATAGGCACAAACGCATTATTGGTCCTTCACAAAAACCACTTGCTTGTTTATAGTGAAAGAGTATGTTGCATATCTTGACAAAAAAATAAAGACTGTTACAGTTTCCTCTTAAATTTTGAGCTGCATTTTATTTTAAATTAAAAAAGTCAAATTATTTGCATACTGTTTCTCTGATGAGCACCTGCTTCTGTGATTCAGCCTTTCTGGGTGGACTTTTGTTCTGTTCCCGTGTGACTAATTATCACCAGGCTTTGGCTCGTTCCTGCCACTCTCTATCACCTGATACGTACATTGTAAGTTTTGGAAAGCTCCGCTGCACATTTGTAGTGCAGGATTCGGGGGGTTCCTTTTGCACAGCAGCTGTTACGCCCTGATAACGCCACATGTGGAGATGTTGAGGTTTGAGCCTGCACGGCTCAGTGGAAAACTCCAAACTGCCAAATAATGACATTGTGAGGGTCAAGTGCATCATAATTTGTTACATCTGCATAAAACCTTGACATGTATGTGGGGAAAAAAGCCCCATATTAACATTTGAATGATGCCAAGCAGGTTTTTTTTAGTCAAATTTACATTTTTCTTCTTCAGGGCAGTTCAAGGTTSGGGTGGGGGAGGTGGGCGATTATGCAAAATTGACTTTTTTGAGCTTTATATCATGTTATAATGTCATTMCCTCATCGAGAAATCCTTGAATCTTATGTGGTAGCCATCTGGAGCTGCCTAAACATTTGCTGGTACAAAGCTCCGCCTATTTACACAAAGCTCCTCCCTGCTCCCGCCTCAATGAGCACGCCTCCCCGAAGCATTGTTGTGAAGACGTGTTGAAGTGGGAGTGGCAAAAATGGTAGGAGGTTCTTAAAGCGGCACAGGCCAATTTCAARGTAGAATATGATGCAAAATCCAATTTATTTTTTATTTAAACAGCTTTTTCTTAGCAACTGAACGGAATATAGTTACTTCATTGAACTATGTGTCTGGAAAATGCATAATACTCCCCTTTAAAAGAGGCTTGAGATTATTGTTTTGTTTGAATAAATGGAGGAAGTTAAAAGGATTGAGTCTGGTTAATCACTACATGGCCTTTAAAATCACCCATTGACAAAACAATATAGGTATTACAAAAAAGCCACTAAATTCTGACATCAAAACCAAACCACCCACAGAAACCAGTTCAAACAAAGGAGAAAATTCTTAACAACCCAAATAAACAATTCAGGATTAGCATTTCTCTGCAACATGAAATGATGCTTTTTGTCAGGGTCAGCTGAACGTGTAACGTTAATCACCTGCGTCCCCACCGCCTCCCCTTCTCTACGCCACTTTGCTCAAGTGCACACAAAGGTTCACATCTGCTCTGTCCTTGTTCCCACATTACAGTGGCAGAGAAGCAGACATTCTCACGACACTTCAGGAACTCCTCTTCTCCGAACAGGAACGTTAGCACCGCCGCTGCTCTGTAATCATCACCACAATGACTGTGTTAGTTTACACAAAGTGCCATTCAGGGTAGCGTTTGCCGTCTGGTGAAACTGCCAGTTTGTTCCCGTGTCTCGTACGCTTCAATTCAGTGACAGATGACAATCCTGCAGACTTCTGCCTTTCATTTCAAGGCACAGAAACATTGTTGTCAGTTGTGAGTGAATTGGGTAAATGCTTGTAACTCAGTTTTTTTTTCTCTCTTTCTGACCCAATTCACCAGGAAAGTGTGAGAAAAAGGCAGATTTTTAACGAGCCCTTTTCTGTCTTTTGAAGCAATTGCTATAGTTCGGATCCATTAGAAAGACCAGGTATTAGTCTTCTGCAAAGTGCAAAGTTTCACAAGCAGACACTACTGGTGAGGTTTTTCTTTCAAACCTGAAAGGTTGTTCATATGATTTAGTTACAGCCTGCATGTGCAACCTTTCCAGGTGGCTGTCTTTTAGATATGTCCCTTGAGGACACCAGTGTCTGTTTAATAATAARATAACAATGATCAGTTTATTGGGGGACAAACCTGCTGCAGACAAACAAAGCACTCAGCCTTCAGCCCTGCAGGCAGAGTCAAACTGTGACCTCTGTTGTCAGATCACAGTTTCTTGTTGAAAGTTTGTTACGTCTTCATCTAACAGCCTTTTCTGCTCTGCGTGAATTACTATGCCAGAGAARGGGAAATGAAAGCATCCAGACTGAATTATTCTTCATTAAGTAAGGGAAATGTGTGAGTTTAAGTACAGGAAATTAATGCTCATGCTATAAGAATAATCGTGCAGAAAGACAAACATGTTTCCATGATGTAAAACTATATAACATGTTCATTCCTGTAAAAATTAAAAATATGGGTCACTGATTTAAATGCTGATTTATTCAATTTAAATGACCAGCAGAATAACGGATGTGCTTCGTGTTTTTTTATAGGCTACTGCTCTCTGGTGTTGAAAACTGGTGGAGCATCCAAGAAATGTTGGTCTCCAAGAAAAATCACTATTTTTCTCAGGTTCTTTGGTGCGTTTCTCAAAACAATTCGTGCAAATAGCAAAACTACGGATTATCTCCAAAACCCAATTTCCTACTCAAAACTTGCTCAAAGAATTAACTGTTGTTTTGATGTGCACAAGTGACACAAGGAGGTCAAGATTGAACAAGCAGTTTTGAGAAATCTGAAATGCAAACAAATGAGAAAAACTGTATTGAGCCAGTGTATTTAAAAAGTCTACAATGCCACATTTTTATGGCCATTTTCCAATTTCCCACCTTTCTTAGGAYATGCAACTCAACTAATAACAATAAAAAAACAGCTATTGTGGAGAACATCTAAAAATAAAAGCAATAATTTGTTTGTACAATTCATGGCACACCTGCCAACTGAAGTGACTGATTACTTTGAATGAGTTTCAGCTCCTGGTAAATCCTGGTAGAATTTACCTGACGTTTATTTAGATCAGTGGTCTTCAATTCAAATTTGGCTAGGTCTGCCTCAAGAACCCTTTCTATAGCAAAAGTCCAGAATGTATACATTTAAATTCCCCTTTAAAGACAACCATGCTGGTTTTATTCACTCACCACATTGTGGTTTCAGGCCTGCGTACCTCTCTGTGGGCTGGCATTAGGCCAAATCTGGGAATTACCATAAACACTATACTAGAAATCTACCCTGCCTAAAATGACCACAATTAAATTGAAGAAAAGTTATGCTGTGCAAAATCAGTTACCATAAATACTAGAAAAGCTGCTCCACATAAAATCAGTTACCAGGAAAACACTGGCAAGTTAGGAAAAATAAATAAACTACATAAATTATTTAATTTTACTGAAATTCAAAAACAGATCTGGATATGACTTTATTTGGGTCCAGATCAGGATTTCGGAACCCCATAAATTAGATGGTTGCTTTTCTTCAGCTGGGACTGGGGGTTTTAGTTGAGGTGGATGTAAACACTTTGGGGACAAACCACTGACAGCAGAACAGCTCTAAGTGTTAGAACAAGATTGAGCCACAGAGGTTATGAGTCTAGTGAAAAGACCAAATCCACAATAATGAAAAATAAATGTTAACTAATCACTTTTACTGATTTAACCAAGTTTTAAGTGAATTCTTAGTAGCACTGCTGCCTCACTTCTCTCCGGTTCAGCAGTTAATGATGCAACATTTTCCACATTCTCCCTGGCTTTTGCTGAGTGCACCAGCCTTTGCCCTCTTCAAAAAACAGATTTGTTAGGTTAATTAGAGGATCTAAATTGACTTTAGGTAATGGTCACTTATGATAGACTTCAGAGTGTATGGTCTTGCCCAATAGCAGCTGAGATAAAATGAGCTAAAACYTCCTCACATCCTTTAAAATACACAGAACCTTCACCCAGTGCACTCAGGCTTGCTGTAAGCAAAGAAAAATATAAAAGACAGACTAAACAGGAACACAAAGATATTCAGTTTTGTCCTTGACTGTTAGACAAAACATATTGTACTTTCACCTGTTGATCTGTGCGACCTCTATTACAATAAAGCAGTAGCTTTGAGATTAAATCTAATTACCCTGGAATCTGAACACATTTGCAGTACAAAGTTAAGCACAAATCTGCTGCAGCTTTAATGTGAGCAGGCTACAAGCTCTCCAAATCAGTCCCCACACTGTGAGGGCACACACTCACAGCATGCCGTCACCGGGCCTGAACAACCTGCTCCTGCAGAAAGGTACATTGGCTAAAACGTTGCTCCTTCTGTTTGCACCACGCAGGCAGCATGCACACAAACCAAGCCCGAAGCTGTGTTGTCCTGAAAATGCACTCTCTGTGGGATTAATAAATATTGCCACAAACCATAATTCATATGGGTGAGGAGATTCGGTGCATGTGAGATGCAAAGAAAGAAGGGATTATATATGTAAAAAAAATAGCTGTAGGCCCGTTTTATCAGATTTCAAAGATCTTATGGAGAAAATGCTTTCAAAACAATTGGCTATGGCTGCAGTCCCAGACTTTCTAACGGAACCTTCAGGGTACTTCCTTTACCGTTTCTAAAAAATATATAACATTGTTTCTTTTCCCAACTAAAAAGCTGCAGCTATATCCTTTATGGAACTTATTTAGGTAACATTTTATTCAATAAATCGTAAATCCTACAACCTAATCAGATTCCTTTAACACACACAAAAAATATGGAGTATTTATATAC